AAAAAAAAAAAAAAAAGGAGACGTAGAGAATCAATCAACATACTCAACAATTGTGCTCTAAACACTGTGGTATGATTTGAGTCTTTGACTATTGACTTTCGAGTCATTGTAGGGCTTATAATCGGCATTTTCCGGTTCCGTCCAAATCCCTTTACTATAAAAAAGGACATATCTCAACTCGCTGGGATCTCATTCCCTTTCTTTTTTTCGCGTGATTAGTAATTGGTGATTGATTCTCTGAACTAAAATCTCCTCTCTCATTTTCTTTTAGAGAAGGCAGAGGGCGCCGCCGGTGAAATCACACTTTTAACCCTCAAATTCATCACAAATCCAATGGCCGTTTCAAGCTGTGCAGCTGCAGCTAGGGCATTTCCATCCTTCGAATGCCGTTCCGACGCCGACTTCTCCGCCGGCGGCGTTCCACGTCACAACGACGTTCCAAAAAACTCCTCCGGCGTCCGTTTCTCCGGCAAGGCAAACTCGTTAAATCACGGATCGTCGATTCACGGTGGCATGTCTTCTCTGATCCTTAGGTTTCCGCCAAACTTCGTGCGGCAACTGAGCGTCAAAGCTCGTCGGAACTGCAGCAACATCGGCGTTGCACAAGTCGTTGCGGCTTCCTGGTCAAACAACCTCGGTTCCCCTGACTTCACTCCGGCGGCGACTAAGGCCGTTGATGCCTCAGCCGCCGCCGCCGCTGCCGTTGCTCCTGTTGATGAGGAGGTGACGGTAATGGTGGAAAATGAAAATCCGGCTTGTGATGATCGAAATGTACAGATTGAGGAGGTGACACGGGGAAAATATTCTTCGTTTTTGAGTTCTGATGGAAGTATTGCTATTCATGCCGGTATACTTTTAATGCTCTTCTAGTATTGTATTTTTAGAAAGTCGTACGTCTAATTTTGTCTCTATTTTGTGTTATGCGTTGGTTTTGTGGATTTACTCTGAATATTTCTGATTATATATACTTGATACTGTTGGAGTGCTTATCAGCTTTTCTTTTACACAAATGCTTATTATCAGTTTCAAGCATTTTGACTAGATAACAAAGAAAGAAACCACATTTAAAAAATCAAGTCATCAACGGAAAGAGAGGGATTCAAACCACAATCCGCCCACTTTTTGAACTCTATTCGTTATCAGCTACTTTTAATTAGCTAACTCAAACGGGCTCTTATAAGATTGGAAAAGAGTGGGGATATAGGGATTGAGGCGTAGTTGATTGATTTGTTAATTCTTTTTGTTTTTTGATAACCTGATTTGTTTTTCCACAGGTGAGAGGTTAGGACGTGGTATTGTTACTGATGCAATAACTACCCCAGTGGTTAATACGTCTGCTTATTTCTTCAAGAAGACTTCTGAGCTCATTGATTTCAAGGTATTTGCTATTCTTACATTTGCTCTTGTGCCTTTACTTCTTTGTGGTGTATGACCTGTAAAATAGGTTCATTAGGCAAGTCCAATGAAGAGTTTACACCAGAAAAGGTGAGCCATATCAGTTAGGGAAGGCAAGTGATGTTCTTTGGTCAATAGTCAGCTCATGTGAAATATTATAGTAGTGTATCATTTATTTTGTGATTAGTAATATTGTACTAGTGTATCATCATATTTGCTTATAGAGAATGCCAAGAACATAATCTTTTGGGCACAGGCTGATGTAGTGGGTAAAATATGGGTTCATCTGAATCCAGTAGCTTTGGCTCGGACCCTGTATAAGTGTTGAAAAATTTACTAAATAATACAAACAATTGATTTCGAAGCCAATAAATCAGATGTGTGGTGGTAGAATCCCGAACTCGAACCCATAAAGCTCAAATCTTGGATCTGCCTCTGCTTTGGGTTTAGCTGAATTGAATTTTTGGTTTGATTTCTATATATGATACTTTTGCAGGAGAAAAGACATGCAAGTTTTGAATATGGGCGCTATGGAAACCCCACTACTGTTGTTGCTGAGGAGAAGATAAGGTGAGTTAACTAAGAGAATTTTCCTTTCCCTTCTCCGTTTCTTTTGTGTTTGGTAGCTAAGTGGCAATGTATTATTTCTACTGCAACAGTGCACTGGAAGGTGCTGAATCAACCTTGTTAATGGCATCTGGAATGTGTGCGAGTACTGTAATGTTGTTGGCATTAGTTCCTGCTGGTGGACATATTGTAACAACAACAGATTGCTACAGAAAGACCCGGATATTTATTGAGACAATACTGCCTAAAATGGGAATCACGGTATTTACCTATTCCGCATGTTTATGCTTGAAGTTTGAAGCATAGGGTATGCCAAGATTTCTTGAGACAAGAAGAAAATTGGATTCAGAACTGAGAAGCTGGCTTAGCTTTACTCATAAACATAAACGGTAGAAATAAATTCAAATTTCCATGAAAGTCTCTCCGGAAACAGCTCTTGACTGAATCATTGGGCTATAGTTTTTTTTTCTTTTTCTAATGAATAATTTATATATCCAAGTCTGAAATGGTTCGCACCTTTATGCTGTGTAGTGATAGTCCCTTTTCCTTTATGAGTGCAGGCCACAGTCATTGACCCAGCTGATATTGGAGCTCTAGAGTCAGTCCTAAAACAGAAGAAAGTGAGTATGCTGCTTATTGCATTAACTGTTTTGAATTATATTTGTGGAATAACTGAAGATATCCCCAATGACTGGAACATTGTCCGGTACAGGTGACTCTTTTCTTTACCGAGTCTCCAACAAATCCATTCCTGAGATGTGTTGACATTGAGCTGGTATCAAAGCTTTGCCATGAAAATGGAGCATTGGTTTGCATCGATGGGACATTTGCAACTCCTCTTAACCAAAAGGCCCTTGCTCTAGGGGCTGACCTCGTTGTGCACTCTGCAACAAAATATATTGGTGGCCACAATGATGTATGGTGGCGTCAAATGATGTTTATAGCAATTTAAACTACTATGCACAACTAAAATTAGTCAGACTGATGCTATGCAATTGCATTTGTTGCAGGTTCTTGCTGGTTGCATTAGTGGACCTGAAAAGTTAGTTTCAGTAATTCGTAACTTGCATCATATCCTGGGTGGTGCTATCAATCCGGTGAGTAGTCTTGCTTGACTTATTTCACATGCATTTTATGCTATATGGGCCTGTGTGGTATGCAAGATTAAGGTCCAGATGAAATTTATCCAATCTATTCTTCAATTCCACGTGCCTCTGAATTGGATAACCCTTTATTATTCATCATGAAACCCTCACTATTTTAAAGGAGAGTTAACCCTTGGGATGGGAAATTGCTTTTTTCTTTTAAATGGACTCTAGATAGTAGTCGTGGTATTATGGCATTGTGTATAAAGGATGAAAGATATGTACTTGCTCAGTTTTAGCTTGTATTTTGTTGAAGCTTGATTCAGTTTTCTCCCATGTATCAGAATGCTGCGTATTTGATCATCAGAGGTATGAAGACGCTGCATCTTCGTGTACAGCAACAGAACTCAACTGCGCAAAGGATAGCCGAAATTTTAGAGGCTCATCCCAAGGTATTCTAAGCTCTCAGTAATTATGTCAGTGATTCGACATTTGTAGCAGAATACAACTGCCTAAACTAATTCTCAAGGAAAAAAATAAAAGAATTCAAGAGAAATGTATCTTTGAGGAAATAAACAAGGTTCTATTTAATGTGCACTGATATAATAATTTGCAACAGGGAGCCTAGTACACACACAGCATAGTCTATTTTTGTAGGTTGTATGTAGCTAATTTGACCTTAAGTGTGTGAAAGATAATCAAGATATGGAAAGTGGCCACTGCAGAAGTTCCAGTCTCCTGTTTTCTTCCTTTATTTGTTAGTTGCAGCAATGCCGGGTAAACTGGAAGTCTGTCTCCTCTTTTGCACCTTAAGATCCTGCTGCTAGTATCACAAAGCTTCATTTCTTTTGCGGGATGGGGTGATTCTGATTTACTTTTTCGCTTCTTTTGTTAACAAAGATGATGCTCTTTCACTGTAAATGCAACTTGGCTGGTTTCATTCCGTGGCAAAACACACAAACAATTGCAAAGAGAACAGAGGCAAATAAAGATAAATGAATAAAGAGGATAAGAAAAACCGGTCAGTGTTGATGAAGGATTTCTTCTTGCCAGTTTTTCTTAAAACTAGTTTTTATCTTTCTGTTTGGCTCAAAGTTGCTTGCCTTTTTTTTTTTTGCTTATATTCCATGTTTACTCTACCATAAATATTTAGCTGTACATCTATGTATTGTGGTTGCCTTGTATTTTCTTTGCTTCAGAGTTCTTTGTTCCATGCTCCAACTGCTATCATATCTGAGAAAATTGAGTTGCAGGTGAGATGTGTCTATTATCCAGGCTTGCCGAGTCATCCAGAACATCAGCTGGCAAAGAAACAAATGACTGGTTTTGGTGGTGTGGTCAGCTTTGAGGTCTGTATTTTACAATCTATTCCAAGTTTATGCTTGTCAAGTCCTATATTCTGGATGGTTAATCAGAAGGTCATATTATTAATTAGGTTGATGGGGATCTGCTGACTACTGCAAAATTCATTGATGCTCTGAAAATTCCTTATATTGCTCCATCATTTGGAGGCTGCGAGAGCATTGTGGATCAACCAGCAATAATGTCTTACTGGTATGTCAATTTTCTGTATATGGCTGGCAGTGTCCTTTTCCCTTTCTCCCTTTCTCCCTTTCCGGGGCTTGACAAAGCATGTTTATGGAGACTCTGGACATCCAATAAATGTGACACCAAGGATTGATATACTAGAAGGTGCTAACAGTAATGTGGTTTTATTAGGTGGATGTATAAGCATCCACCATTAGAGGCAGATGTGGCCTTTACTCAATATGTTCAACTGGACCCAGTATTTTCAAAATTGAACTTCTATTTCTGCGTAAAAAGCCACTAAAGTTTCTGCAAATATTGAATTCGAAATCATAATTTCAAAGGTACAACGAGTTCCGAGTTCAGTGCTAAGAACCTTAAATGTTGAACCCATCAAGTTCAAATCCTGAATCCGCCTTTGTCCAGCATGTTGGATCAAATGACTCTTGGGGAAAACATTCTTAAAGAAACCTTATCGGACTTGGATAATAAGTGGATAAACTTTCTTTATCATTTTGAAAACAGGGATCTTAGCCAGTCAGACAGAGCAAAGTATGGGATCTTGGACAACTTGGTTCGATTCAGCTTTGGAGTGGAAGACTTTGAGGATTTGAAAGCTGATATTCTTCAGGCTCTGGATACCATATAGACCGTCTTACCTGCAACCTGATTTTATTGTTTCCTATGATCTTTTTCGTTCCCCTAGCTTTGAACGTTTTCATCTCTAAGTGTTGTACTCGTTTCCCCTATTGACAGAATATAGTGAAAGGATCATTCAGCAGATGATCCAATCTAATGTGAAAGTGGGATATTACTTTTGTTACCGTTTTCTTATCTTCTTGGAGAATTGAGTTCTTTAAGTGAGTTTAACTCTAGTAGCAGCGGGTACAAGAGAAGCAGATGAAATTTACATAATAATGCAGAAGGAAGGGACAATTTGCAGAAAGCTTTAGGCAAGAATCTGGATAACAGCTCTTTGCTTTTCAAATGTTATTACGTAATTTTATAATTGAGGGAAAAGGAGAATGAACTTAAATCCAAGTGAAACATGTGAAGAAAGGAGACATCGTAAACAAGCAATGGTTTGCCATTATTTGTAATTTTTCTGACTCTTTTATTATATGCCATATGGGATGCTTTCGGGGAAAGAAAAAAGAAGAATGAGAGGTTAATAATTTAAATGGAACCTTTCAATAGTCGGATTTTTATAGTTTAATAATGTGAAGAAAGGAGGGTAATGTTTATAGTTTAATTTTGTTTAGTTTCATACTTCATAGTCATCCTAGAAGAAGTTTATTTTGGTACTATAGCAAAGCACGAGTGTGGGTTGTGGGTTTTCCACTCCTTTATTATCCCTTTTCAAGTCTGTTTATTCCATAGATATCTTAGAAATTCTTCCATTTAAATTCTTTCACTAAAAATTTCAAATCAAGCAAGTTCTCTCCTACAACAACCAATTAATTGAAGTTCAATATGTAATAGGAAAGCGTCGTGAAAGCAATTTCTAAAGTAGAAACTTACAAGTACCCTTGCTATATACATTAATTACACAAATATCTCAAGTTCAATACACTTGTACTTAAATCTTATAAATGATGTTCCATCAGTTCAATTTATATGACACATTTTTCTTATTAGTTTGTTCCAAAGAGAGTGTCACATATTTACATTTGAAAATTAAACTTTAATTTTTTTATTTCACTCATTTTACTATTAATGAGAAACTTTTATAGTCATAGTATAGGCCCATAAATTTTTTACTCTTTAAGTTTTTAAGATTACAAATTTCAATTCTTTAAAACTCCGAACCGAGTCAAATCACAGTCATACAAATTGAAATTGAAATAAAGAGAGTAATAAAAACTTCCAAATATGTATCATGCAAGATGGAACAGAAGTAGTACGTCGCTATAAAATGACTTCTAAATCAAAATAATAATCATATAAAATATTGAACAAAGCATGTAAGTAAGTATTTAATGCAGTTACGTGTATTTTTTTTTTAAAAATGTTTTAAAGAATTCTTATGAAATACCCAACACATAGTGCACCTATTTTCTTGACACAAATATATTCAAAACAAATAAAGGATCTTTGCAACATAACCAATGTCTCTGTGATATGAGATCTAATGCTCACAAATTTACACCTCCTAATTACCAATTTTGCTCTCAAATTCTATCGCTCTCTGTCTTTAGTTTATAGAGATGATCATGTTTAGAAAGACAACGTGGAGATTAAAGATGTTAGTTTCAATTATGATTTGGGTAATCACAGTATTATCACCATTGGTGGATGCAATGCGATTTGAGTTGATCTCTGGAACGTCAAAATGTATAGCAGAGGACATTAAGCACGATGCCATGACTGTTGGCAAATACTCTCTTGTCAATCCTAACGACGGTTACCCTTTGCCCGACAACCACAAAGTCACTGTTCGGGTAATTTTTTCTTCCAAGTTTTACCTTTCATTTAGTAAGTTTTGGAAATTCTCTCATTCATGCAAAATTTGCTTTTTAAATAGACTAGCCTAATTTGATATGAATTTAAGTTATATATACTGATAGTGTAAATTTCTTTTTATATATTTATGTTGTTTAAAATGACATGCCATTTGGAGTTTGAGCTAATTGTCTGTGTGACCTTAATATATGTCACATAAAGTATGGACGATGAAGTGTAATTATTCAAATGAGTGCATGCATTTTCTTTGTTTATCTTTGATTTATTTTGAGAATTTTACGTTAAGTAGTTAGACTAATGTCACACTCGTTCGACAAGCAAATGAAAGATAATTGAACTGAAATGTCCACATTTACTATTTTATTTGCACAACAAATATCGTCTTTTCTTGTCAGTATATTGGAGTAAAGACAACGTCGGAACCAGTGGCAGAGTCACACTCTTTTACCGGAAAATTACAGTCTGTAGCTAAGTGAAAAAAATTGTTTTATGTATATATACAATATATAGAATCTCTTTAGCTTCTTTATAAATTTACTTCTTTATAATATGGCTCTTCTTAGTGAAAATACTCGCTCCGCCACTAGTCGAGACTCTTAACAATCAGCTTGTGCATTTGTTGTTGTTATGGAATCTTTACGATGTGATTACTGTTGCAGGTCACTTCTCCATATGGGAACAATTATCACTTCATGGATCATGTAGAATCTGGCACATTTGCCTTTACAGCATCTGAAGGAGGTGACTATATGGCTTGTTTTTGGGCAGCAGATCATAAGCCACCACTAAACTTGTCAATAGACTTTGAATGGAAATCTGGGGTTGCTGCTAAAGATTGGTCTAAAATTGCCAAGAAAGGTCAGATTGAAGTAAGCAATTTAGCTCTTTTAATTCATGGATCACTAATTACTTCCACTTTTTTGTGTAAATCTCTTTATGTTGCTACTTTTAGCATTAATTAATGGATATGTTTCTTGAAAAAGAAATGGCTAACCCGTGAATTAAGTTGGCGTTTCGACAAAAGTGAGCCAATATCTATCCAGTCTTTCCTTGCATTTATGCAATAGACTGTTTTCACGGCTAATTGTCCGTTGATTTTCAATCTCTCCATTTCTTTAAAAGGGAGTACAGTTTTTCATCGATAGGTTCTTGTTGCAGTCTGAAACTCTGAATAAGTGTAATTTGATATTGATAGAAAAGTACAGTTATTTGTCACTAAACAAACCCTTGCATGTAGGTGATGGAAATTGAGCTGCAGAAACTGTTCGATATAATCACTTCCATTCATGATGAGATGTTTTATCTTCGCGAACGGTACCATCATAAACATGTCATTGCTATTGCTTCTATATATTGACAGTATAAAATTAAATTTTTCTGTAAATCTCATAAAATCAAGTATAGCAAATGAAATTAGTTACTTGAAAATACAGCTGCCAGCATAGTAGATGTGTTATATAATTTCTTTACACTGTCCATGTGTATAATTAGCTTCTAACCTTTATTTTGTGAGTTGTACAGGGAGGAAGAAATGCAAGAATTGAACAGAGCAACTAATTCCAAGATGGCCATTTTTACTGTACTATCTTTACTTATTTGCTTGTCCGTGGCTGGTCTCCAAGTTTGGCATTTGAAGTCATTTTTTGAAAAGAAGAAGCTTATCTAATTGTAATCTTTACATTTTTCATATTTTGTCTATTCACCTTTAAGCACCTTTGTCCTTAATTTCCATCTGTAAGTTTATTGCTTGCAAGTTTTTATGGTTGAAGTTAGTTACTTCCAAAAGCTTGTTTATATTCACACTTTCTGTTATGCCATTGCTAAGCTAGTGTCCGAGTAGATTAGGAGTGGATCTAGCGGATAAGCTATGAGTTAATCTGAACTCAATAGTATTGACTTAAATTTTGTACATAAGATTTTACTTAGTACAAATAATAGATTCGAACCTAATAAATTGGAGGGGATGTTATAGAGTTCCGTATCCGGATCCATAAAATTTGAATATGGTACTTGAAGGATGTTTCCATGCCAAAACTTTTGTCATGCTACTTGGACCTAGGATTGGTCCTATTTTTGAGTTAATATATATGATAAATTCAGCTCAATTCATCAGGAATAGTATGCATGCAAGCAAAACATTATCAAAGGAGAAGGAGAGAAGAAGTGGAAAGATGCAGAAATGAAATGAAGCTGGTTTTCTTTCTTATGTCTTCATTACACTTGAGTGGTCCCCTTTTATAAATCACTTAACCGACTCCAACTAACTCCTCATTCCTATTTACACTTTAGTCCCTCAACTAGTTACAAGTACACCCCGATCTAGTATATACAAGAATACTCCCCTTCAAGCTGGGGGGGGGTGGGGTGAAACACATTGAACACACCAAGTTTGGACAAGAGGAAATGGTGTTGGGATGAACCCATGCCTTTGTCATGAGGTCAACCAACTGCAAACTGGTAGAAATATATTGTGGTACCAACTATCCATTTTTGATCTTCTCTCGAACAAAATGGCAATCAATCTCGATGTGTTTAGTGCGTTCATGGAATATAGGATTAGCAGCTATTTGCAGAGCTACCTTACTATCACAGTGTAAAACACTGGCTGCTGAACATGGACCTGCAGTTCCTTAAGCAATCCTAAGAACCAAGCGATTTCTGCAGTAGCTGTTGCTAGACTCGTGTACTCAGCTTTAGCTGAGCTTCGACTGACAGTTTGTTGCTTTTTTGACTTCCATGAAAGTAAAGAATCTCCTAGTTTGCTGACATACCCTGTGACAGACCTCTTAGTATTAGGATAGAAGGCCCACTCTGAATCACAATAAGCAGACAATGTATCTATAGGCCCTGTGCTTATCAAAATACCAAGACCTGGTGCTGCCTTGCATATCTCACTACTTGCAATGATGTATCCCAATGAGATTGTTTGGGATGATGCATGAACTGACTGAGTACCTAGACTGCAAAACTGAGATTTGGTCTGGTGATGGTCAAGTAGAGCAGCCTGCCAATAAGTCTTTGATAGCTTCCTATGTCTTCCAATTCTTCATCCCCATTCACCCCAACATGTTTGTCATATTCAATAGTGGTTAACTTCTAGTTAAGTTCTATTAGGATGAAGATTGATTTAGCTCCTGCAAGCCCAACTTCTGATATCAACGGAAGGTCATACTTCCTATGTGTGAGCAGTATCCTTTTCTTTGATTTTAGAACATCAATACCAAGGAAATATCTCAACTCCCCTAAATCCTCAACTTTATAGGAACTGTGTAGTGTTAGTTTGGCTTCATCTATCAGTTATGTATTGCTTCTAGTAATGAGCAAGTCATCCACATAGACTAAGATAACAACAATGTCAGAGTTTGTATTCTTAGTGAAGAGTGAATGATCATAAGCACTCTGATGATACCCTGCTTCCACCAAGGCCTCAGTTACTTTGATATTGCATTGCCTTGGGGCCTGCTTAAGACCATACAATGATTTAAGTAGTTTGCAAACCTTATACTCCCCTTGTTTATGGAAACCTTGAGGCAGATCCATGTAAACATTTTCATAAAGATCCCCTTGCAAACAAACATTATTGACATCCATTTGAAACAGATTCCATCCTCTAGAGGTTGTTAAGCTTATGAGTGTTCTCACAGTAACCATTTTAGCTACAAGAGAGAAGGTCTCATGATAGTCCAACCATTCTTGATGTGTATAACCCTTTGCTACCAGCCTAACCTTGTATCTCTCTATTTCCCCATTTGCCTTATACTTTACCTTAAACGCCCATTTGGATCCTATTGCCTTTTTTCTTGCAGATAGATCAACAATTTCCCATGTTGCATTGTCTTCAAGAGATTTAATATCTTATGACATTGCTTATACCTAGTTTTTGTCTTGACAAGCTTCTTTGAAGCTCTTTGGTTCAACTGTTGCTGAGAACACACCCAAATAGGCCTTGTTGTTTACTGACAGATGAGAGTAGGACACAATGTTTGAGATATAATGAGGATGATTCTGGGTGCTCGAGGGTGTAATATAGTCCTTCAGCCATATGTAAGGTCTTGAAATCCTACTAGATTTCCTGACACTAGCTTCATCTTTAGGTTCCATATTTGACTTACTTGTGACAGTTGCATTCTAACCGATTCTACAGACTGGGGCATAGTAGAAGTATCAACTGAATGCATTGTGGTATCAACTGGTTCCATTGTCTGAGTGTCTACTGCAGCTGTTGGTTCCATGACTGGTGCAGGTGAGATATGATCATGGGCAGTCTCAATTGGAGTGGTAGAAATGTCTGACTCTTCAGTGGTTGCCTGCTCTTCATCAGGAGAAGCATGCTTTAACTATTCATGCATAAGTTCTTTGTCATAACAGGAGGTTCATCACATGGAAATAAGTCTTCAATGATCTGAGTTCCTTCCTTGAAAGGTAACACTTGTTCCCTGAATAAGGCATCTCTACTAATAAACACTCTTCTGCTATCTAAATAATACAACCTGTACCCCTTTTGGGTTTCTGAGTATCCTATAAGGACTGACTTTCTTGCTCTTGGAGCAAATTTATCACCTCCAAACAAGTTACTTCCAAAACACAGACAAACCAAACACCCTTAAGTGTTTTATCTTTGTTGATTTAATATGCAGTACTTTATATGGACACTTCCCTTGCAGCACCTCTGTGGGCAGCTTATTTATCAAATATGTTGATGTTCTTACGCAGTTACCCCAGAATCTCATTGGCACTGAGCTTTGGAACATTAGTGCCCTTGCAACTTCTAGGATGTGTCTATGCTTCCTTTCAACTATGCTATTTTGCTGGGGGTGTATATGGATAGCTACTCTGATGTTTGATTCCCATAGATGTCAATAAATCTCTACACTGAGAATTAAAGAACCCACTACCATTATCTGACCTTAATACTTTCACAGTCAAATCAAATTGATTCTTTATCATAGCAAGAAAGTTCTTTGTTACAACTAACACTTCACATTTTGATTGAATCAAACATACCCAGGTAAATCTACTGTAGTCATCTACAATAGTGACAAAATAATACTTTCTATCATATACAGATACTCTATGGGGTCCCCAAACATCTAGATGAACAAGCTGAAAAGAACTAATAGAGCTGGTGTTACTTAAAGGAAACTTTAACCTACATTGTCTAGCTAATGGGCAGACATAGCGATTTTCCTGCTCCTGTATATCCACCTTATTCTTTAACTCTAGAATATGTTGCATTGACTTCAATGATGCATTTTCTAATCTCAAGTGCCAGAGTTCACTTTCTGCTCCTTTGTTCATAAAGAAACCTACTGCAGCTATAGTTATGTTCTCCTTTAGCAGATATAATCCATTGTTTTCTCTACCAATTCCCATCACTTTGCACAGTAAAGATCCTGAAACATGCAGAAATTAGGAAAGAATGTGACTGAGCAACTGAGATCTCTGGTGAGTTTTGATACTGATAACAAATTAAATTTAAAATCTGGTACATATAAGACATTTTAACTGTCTTATTCCCTAGTATAGATGTTTCTCCTGTATGTGTTATTTGTATCTCATTTCCTGTAGGTAACTGCACTTCATTTCTTCCTTGATCATCAGTTCTTCTCACACTGCTCAGAATGTCCTTACAATATGTGGCATGATGTGTTGCTTCTATGTCTTATCACCCAAGCACATATACCTGCATTTGCTAGCAAGGAAATTATACATGTCATGTTTTTGGAATACTCTGATATTGTTAGTTTTGACAACATCTTGACTAGCTATTTGTATTGTTCTTCTGTGAAGAATTGTCCAGTCCTTTGCACTTGCACAGTTGCTGCCTTGCCTTCCTCATTGTTTGTGTTCACATTGTTGGTATAAACCTTTCCTTCTCCAATTTGATTTTTTCTTTTACTTTTGAAATCATCTAGATAGCCAATTATTTTAAAATAGTTTTCCTTAAGATGACCTTTATATCCACAATGCTCATAAGTGATCCCTAGCCTTTTACCTTTAAAATCTCGACCCCTTCCTTCTAGCATGTTAAGTGGTTTCCTATGTGTATCAACCACACCTAAGGACTTTTGACTCTCTTCCTGAGTGACCACTGCATACACTTCATTAACATCCACTACATGTCTCTTTGCTAGAACATTACTCCTTATGTTACTATAGCTTTCATTTAATAACAAAAGAAACTGCAGCAAACGGTGTGACCTTAAATGTTCAACTGATAGTTGATAAGTGGGGATTTTAACTACTTATTAGTGCCTTTTTACTTTTATTTTAGTCCAAAAGTGTTTAATTGTGCTCCTGAAAACTGATAAAATGTGCTTAAATGTAGGAATATTGGAAGATGAACTTTCGATATGGAATTCAACACAAAAAGGAGTAATCTGAACTCAAAGACATAAAAGGCACATAATCTCAAAAGTACGGACCGCAGAATATCATATACGGCCGCAAATGATGAAGGAAAAGTCAGTAGAGTTTTGTGCAAAGTGTGGTCCACACATGAATTCTGTGGCTGCAAAAGCTGGCCCAGGAGCAAAGTTCAGAGAATATGCATTCCAAGTCCATCAAAAGTGTGGACTGCACAAGAATTGTGCGGCCACAGAAGAAGCGCCTTGCAGCTGCAGGAGTAAAAGTGCGGACCGCAGAAGATCAAGTGCGGCCGCACATGTAAAATTGTCGACCACAGAAAGAGTGCCATGCGGCTGCATATCAGAA